AATGAAAGAATATAATTCTGCCATATATCTGCAACGTATGTTTGCATTTATAAGACCATCAAAAAATAAATGGAGAAGGATGCTTAAACCTACATTGCATTTTCTCGCGTTTTGTTTCTGTGGGAAGTTTACATGACGTACATTGAAAAGTTAACATTTTGAGAAGTCTGAAATACTATTGAATTATGCGCCATGACAATCAATTTGCAATGCAACCTAACTAATACTTACTGAAGTGAAACGCATTTTAAAATTCAAGCCACGATTTTATGAAATCGTTCATTCATTTTCACCTTCAGTTATTTACCAACAGACCTATACATAAATCGATAATATGGCATAATAATCTGCAAATGTTTGTTTAAGTGTTTACGCTGAACTTACATAACAGCGTTAATAACTTTGATCTGTACTATCGCAAATTTGACTCTTGAGAGTCGTCTTATAATTCAGATACGACGCACGTTTGGACTCAAATGTAAACTCTGCAAGTAGGCATGACGATGAATAAATTTCTTAACCTTCTCATTGATTACATTTGTTTCTTAAAATTGTAACTAAACGTCCCGGCTAAATAAAGTGTGCTGCCTGTTTAATTATTCAGCAGACAGAATATGCACACGGCAAATAGCAACAAAATATTGGCTTACTAAGTGAATGAAACAGTTGTGTCCAGACTTTAAAAATACATTATCGTTTGAAGATAATGAGACAATAGGATGAGACGATTTGCGGCAAAAAGGAGGAATGATGGTTACTGCTAAAAATTCGCCCTTCTGCAATTTGCCATGCTGCTTTACATTTTACAGAAAACGATAAACGACAGCGATATTTGTCAATGCGAACAAAGTCAATTAAACTTTCGTTCAGACAGTGCTGGTGATCATGTCGGTCAGCGTCGAACAGCCGCCGTCCCATTTTTAGATAAAGTGCAAATCGCAAGGACAGAGAAGCGGAATTGATGTCAAAACTTCTTTCTGAAAAACAGGATGTCATTTACATGCAACATGCGTGGAATGTCTGAGAAGCTGCTCTGTAGATCATATCCCATGGAAACAGCTGAATTCGACCTGAAAATATAGGCTAGCTTCAAGAGATACCTACTAGCGCATTGCGCACACAAACAACAAAGACTTTCGAAAGTGCTGCATGCCAAGTCCACAGACTGGCTGAGCGACGTGAGACGATTTGCGCCAAAAAGGGAGATTAACAGTAATTTTTCATAATTTGCCAGTCGGCAATAGGTGTTACCGCTTTAAATTTTGTGGAAATCATCAAAGGACAACAACATTGTTTAATGCTTGCGGAGTTAACGAACTGTTCGGTCAGACAGTGCTGATTATCCCGTCGGTAATAGCTTTCGGCTTAAGTCGTTTACAAATACGGACAGCTGCTCTTCCATTTTTTGTATGAGGTGCAGATCGCAAGGGCGGAGAAGCGGCATAAATGTCAAAACGCCTACCTGAAAACTGGATATCATTCAATCCCAAGTGTGTGGTGGAACATGTGTTGAGTATCCGAGAGGCAGCTATATCGAACATATTCCATGGAACCTACTGAATGTGACCTGCAAGCATCGGCTAGGGCATTGGACACACAAAAAACAAAGACTTTCGAAAGTGCGGCATGCAAAGTCTACAGACTGGATGACTGACGTGTATGGTATGGCATCTGATCACGTCTCTCTGCAGGATACCCAATACGAGCTGCTTAGGTCATTTAAATCGATGCTACACTGTTGGTTTTCATACATAAGTCATAAGTACTCACAATCACTCTACGAAGATCTTAATATGTCATGATCAGATGTAGCCGTTACGGCGAGTGTTCATGCAATTCGGGTCATTATTTGTTTCTGGTTTAGCCTAACCGACTATTCTGCCGTCTATATCATCTCTACCGTTGAATTTTTAAAGCTGTCAATAAAACCTTCTGCACTATAGACTGTATTCCTAAATGTAAAATTGCTGGCATGTCTTTTCGGAAATCATTTCATGTTGAAGCTGCAGTACAATTATTTGATTGGTTTTATGCCAAGACAGAAATAAAGAACACAGCAAAGAGTAACAATTGTAAATCCCAATTCGCCTTCATATTACATACGCTCAGCTGCAGGTCCCCTGCACATGCAACCTCTAGTTCACAGGCGACATGTCAAAAATAACTTGCTGGAAGCCGCATTTGATGCTAATTGGTTCAGCTCATTAATGGTTTTTTTTCTCCACCGAAAATCCGCAGGCCATGGGGTGGTCCTTTTTCCCGGAGTGATGCCTGCGTCTATTCTGGAAAAAACAATTCCATCGAAATGCAATATTCTTTCCTTTGACAGCTCACTCGAAATGATGTAAAATTCGGCGACCGCAGAAAAGTTCAGAAGGTGAAATTTCATCAAATCCGCTGTCCGATACGGGAGTCCAAGCAACCTAGCCAGGCCATCGTTTACCTGAACCCAGTTTAGGCATGATTTAGTTTTTGTTTTTATTCATCAAAATAAATTTGACATAGATTATGCAAGTGCCTTTCAAACTACTATTTTGCTCGCGTATTTTCAATGAAAGCTAAAACGTTTCCTTTTATAACGTGTCGGTTGACATTGCAGCGTTAAATTAAACGTTTACGTTTAAGCTTGCCTGTTAAACAGGGATGGCCATACTATGATAGCTATAGCTTGTTTCAGCCCAGTCAGTCGTGATCCAGATTCCATAAATGAATCAACATCGCTTTAGGTATATACGTGTGGCACCACAAGGAGCAACTGTTTTCCATATAATAAATGCATAAAAGTCTGGTCGCTGGCTCATTTGATACACTAAATATCTTTGGGAAGTGTTGCTTTTATCCGAAGCTATTAGTCCAACAACGCATAGAGTTTACTTATTATCCTTTCAATAAACTTTTACGAAGCAGATCAGAGAATACCAAAAACATATTTGTAGCAGTTTATCAGGTCAACGTCCATGCACCAAATATGACATACAATAAATACAACGCCATACGCGTTTCAGAGCAGACCCATTCTGCATAGACCTAGTCGGTCGCTATATTTGTTTCCATTCGAGCATGCTTTGCAATTATACAGAGGAGACTTATACAAATTGTTATAGGCCCCAGATATTTTAGGTGAGCAAGCAGTTCCAACAGCAGCAAATGTGACTAGGCGGTTTTTGCCTTTCTGGATAAATGCGCATATAGAATAATTTAAACCGGCTTTTTCAATTAAACGATAAAATAGCATATGATAGGCATAAAGAAATACGAATCAAATTAAAAGTGTTTACCTTCAGAAGAACGTTGCAGTCAATGCGTGAAAAAATAAGAGTACATTCAAGTCTTACGATTGCGGCTCCTTCAGTGTTATTTATAAGGAAGCATGCACGAAGTACTGGGTGAGGCTGAATAATCATTCGGAATTGTGTTTTGCTGTTGTCTGTGTACGGAAGGTCTTCTGAAAATTCGGGAGTCGCATGCATTCTATTCAGTAAGATATCGGAAATAAAGACGTTCCCTTCGGTACGTGGACAGAGTGGCCAGGCTTATTAAGCGGACATAAGAAAGTTACATGTAGAAGTCAATTAAGGTATGCTTGTTAAATGTTAAAATACTGTTTAATTATAAAACAAATCAACGTTCATATTCGTTTTGAGTAGGCGAAAATGCGACAGATGTGCAGTAGGTGGGCCAACTCGAGATATTGAATAATGAGACGCCATCGCCGGGACAATAGCTTTTTTAGCCTGACCTTTTGGATTCCTACTCAAATACGTCATCAAAAACAAAAAAAACTTTTTATCCATAATTGTTCAGCGTGCAGCTTAGTATTCTTATAAATCAGTTAGTTTAGGATGCCGTACGTTTTTGTGGATATTTTACAGCATGAAAAGCATATACCCTGTAAAGAATGACTACTTATACAGCATGCATCTTATTTGTTGATAGGTGATACGCTTTAAATGCAATTATATTTATGCAAAGCTTAATTCATAATTTTCATTATTTTTATTATTTCGTAGGAACTTACACCTACTTCAAATCTTGTATTCAAAAAAGGACATAATCTGGTTTTGAAAAGTTTTCAAATTTGGGATTCTTTAATATCGCCATATGTCCATTTATAAAACTTAATGTAGTTGCATCTACCAAATTGGCCTGCAAGTTCACCAAAATGGCTCAAATACACTGATAAGTTTCATGATCCCCATTTTTTCTTCCAATACCGTGGAGAAACGTATGGTTTTCTGCACGCAGCATATATGCATCTTGTAGTTTGGAGATTAAAAAACGCAAGTGTAAGGGCTAATCGTGTTAAGAAAATATTCGGAAATTAGGAAAGTTTTAAAATCCGAATCATCCTCTTTTTTCCAGTAAACATTGAAAGAAAACATAGTGTTCCATCGAATGAGCAAAGGACTGAATATTCGTATAATATTTCGTATGCAATATAATTGAATTATTATGGGCACGGAAAACCAATGGGACACATGTCTCCTTTTAATGTATTCACTTGATACAGAGTGCGGCATTTGTATGCAACCGGACAAAACTTCGTTCGAAAGGCCGCATTTTGGGGTAATTAAATTGATGTAGACATATGCTGTATGATGACCAAGTGGTGAGGTACCTGACTAATTTACCTTTGTCAACTTACTCCCATTTTCTTTGACCGGATTGCTTGTTTGAATGAGACGAGAAACGACACACATGTACAAACCGCCTTGCTACCGTGTTCCGTGCTCTATTGTTAAGTTTTCTTAACGTTCAAAATATTTATATTATTCACTGTTCCGTTTTACTTGCTGCCTTTAGGGCTAGGGGCACGTGAGATATAACTCGCTAGTTCGTGAGAACATTACCTCTTACGACATTGATAACTCCCGCCGTTAACGCAGACTATAACTTTCTGTCGTACTGCATAAGATTTAACGTTTTTTGTTTGTGAAAATCTATCCAATTTACATTTACTTTCCTCACGAATTCTGATATTTTGCCATCTCTCTCTAATTATGTCTCACTCCAATCAACAACTTGATGCCCCCGCCCAGTTCCTTCATGCAATCAATTTTACCTTGCCTAAATTCTGGCAACACGCTCCAGAACTTTACTTCATCCGCATAGAATCAGCCTTTTATTCTGCCATCCTTACCAAGGAACTAGCAAAATACCACAAACTTGTGGAGGTCCTCCCCGCTAGTGTCATCTCACAAGTTCAGTCCTTGCTAGCTAATCCTCCTGTTGATGCTCCTTTCTCCACGTTTAAGGCGGAAATTCTACGACTTAATTCTGTATCTGACCGACAGCGGTATCATCAGTTATTTAAGGAGGAGTCACTGGGTGATTGGAAGCCTTCAGAGCATCCACGTCGAATGCGATCTCTCTTTGAAGACATGGAAGTAGACGATAAATTTGTCAGGGACATTTTCCTAGAACGTCTGCCCACAGATGTTCAAACGATCCTGGCTTCCGCCTCTGAAGACCTTACGGTCTCACAGCTGGCTGAGATGGCGGATCGAATAATAGAGGTGCAGCGATTCCAGCCACCTTCCGTTGCCAAGATCTCCTCATCTTCATCGTCAGTGAATGAAAATTTATTGAAACAGGTTTCGGCCATGGCAGATGACATGGCCTCCCTTAAAATACAGCTCGACCGCATAGCTTCCAGTCGCTCACACAGCCGTCGTCGTTCTCGTTCGCGACCTCGGACTGCTGATACTTGACGGTATCACACTAATTTCGGCGTAAAGGCCCGTCATTGTTCCTCACCCTGCTCTTTAAACCGAAACAGGGAAACCAGTCAGCCAGAGAATAGATGCGACCGTTTTTTCTGGCTGTTCCGGCTCTGGTCGCACCTTCTATGTTTCCGACACTGCGACTCGCAGACGTTTTCTTGTGGACACTGGAGCCCAAATCAGTGTTGTTCCCCCAACTGCAGCTGATCGTCGTTTCCCTAGCCCTGGTCTTCATCTTCAAGCTGTTAACTGTTCCCCCGTTCCCACTTTTGACAGTCGTTCCTCACCCTGAACATTTGCCTTCGTCGGTTATTTGCCTGGATATTTTTGATTGTTGATGTCCCTCATGCAATCCTCGGCTCGGACTTTCTTGCCGAGTTCGAACTCCTTGTTGACTGCCGACGTACCCGTCTCCTCGACCGCACTACCGGTTTGTTTTTTCGTGGACTAACTCTCTTTACTGCACCCACCAACTTATCTGTCTTGAATACGGATATTGCTAGTCCTTTTCGGCAACTGCTGCTTAGTCATCCCAACATAATTAACCCACAGATTCGCAGTGGTGAAGTTCAAAGTGATGTTGTGCACCACATCCGCACCTCATGTCCTCCTGTGTAGCTCGACCGAGACGACTATCACCGGAGCGTTTTCAGGACGCAAAGGCGGAGTTTGAACACATGCTGCAATTGTGAATAACTCGACCTTCCGAGAGCCCTTGGGCGTCTCCACAGCACGTGGTGCCCCAGACAACATCAGGCGACTGGCGATCCAGTGGCGACTATCGTGCCCTCAACAGCGCTACCATTCCTGATCGGTACCCCGTGCATCATCTTCAGAACTTTGCTGGAGCCCTTTTCGGCAAAGCAGTTTTCTCGAAGATTGATCTGGTGCGTGCTTTTCATCAGATTCCAGTCGCCACTGCGCACCTCCCTGAAACCGCCGTCACCACACCCTTCGGTCTATTTGAGTTCGTCCGCATGCCGTTTGGTCTTCGTAATGCCGCTCAAAAGTTCAAATGGTTCATTAACCATGTCTTACGTGGCCTACCCTTTGTTTACGCCTACATTGATGACCTCTTGATGGCCAGCCGGAATGAAGAAGAACACAAAGAACACCTTTCCTTGGTGTTTGACCGCCTTGACAAGTTTGGCGTTGTCATCAACCCCTACATGTGCGTGTTGGGTGTGCCTTCGCTCGAGTTCCTTGGTAACAAGGTCGAGTCTAAAGGTTTGCGTTCCCTCCCATCCTAGTTTGAAGCAGTTCATAATTTTCCCCCTCCAACTTCCAAGCGTCAGTTACAGCAATTCCTCGGCATGGTCAATTTTTACTGTCGGTTCCTACCAAACTGTGCTGACCTCATGCTGCCGCTCACCAACATGCTTTCTTGTCCAAAAGGTCCCCTCGAGCTAACTGGTGAAGCACTGACTGCTTTTTAGAGAATCAAGAATTCCCTTGCTGATGCTAACTTACTCACACATCCCGCTCCCGAAGCTCAGCTGTCTCTGATGCTAGATGCTTCGACCGTAGCCGTAGGTGCAGTCCTTCAACAACGCATTGCTGGTTCGACTCAACCACTTGCCTTTTTCTCCAAAAAGCTTTTACCAGCTGAGACACGCTACAGTAACTTTGGCCGTGAAGTACTTGCCACTTACCTGGCTGTGAAGCATTTCCGGCATTTCCTTAATACTCAGTCGTACAACCCAACTTTATGACTATTGTGGAAAGAGCAACACATGTGGGAAATTCGATTTACATTTTATGAGGCAACCTACATTTTATGAGGCAACTGCAAATCATCACAACTTATGTTTGACGAAAAACACTACTGCTTGTCCCTTAAGGCTTTAAAATGTAGGCGTGGCTAATGTATGTGTACGAGGTGGCGCAAACAACCCACATTACTTATAAAGGTAAGCTTTCGAATAATTCCGAAATATTCAAAGTATTTCCATAGAGTGATTCACCGACTTGATAAAATTTTGGCCGAAAATCTAAAATGTGTCTCCAATTATGAAGGATTATTGAGGTGGGGTTGATATAGTAATTGGCGCTGACCGATAGTTCATAAGGAACGTATTCGTTCCGTTGTGCCTTATGGGCTCTCTTCCGAGTCCAACCAGCAGCCGCACAGCGGCGCATGATATAGACAGAATGACATTAAGACGAAGACAAGAAAGACTAGAATGGCCATTTTTGGCTTATTAGCCGTCGTCAACCAGTCATACCTAACCCCGAATTGTGAAAATCTTGAGACTCGAACTCACGAGCTGTTTATTTAAAGTCCACGCCTGTAACCACTGAGACACCAGCCCGTGACCGTGTCGGTTTAGATCCGGAATATACAATGGTAGGGGGCGGTCACCGATCGCACGGCACCACTTTATATTCCCGATCGAAACCGACAAGGCAACGTAGCCCTGTGGTTGGAGGCGTCGAATTCTAACTAACGGGTCGCGAGTTGGAGCCCCGGATGTTCGATACTTCGTGGTTAGTTATGACTGGCTGACGACGACTAATAAGCCGGAAATAAACATTTCAGTCTTCTTTGCCTTTATCGATGAGTTAATGTTGGTTAACATGCCGTATAATTCTGTAGTCTTTCAGTCTGTTTGGCGTTTGAATTTACGTCTTTTCGGCCTCTCGCAGACTTCAAACTCCGCAACAATCACCACGTAGTGTGCACGTGTTTTTACATTCATTTTTAACAGTCATATTCAGTCAAATGTACATTGCAGAAAACTGGCACAATTTAAACTGTTAGTAACTTGTTCCCTAGGAAATGAAATTGTTAACGAATTATTTACCCTGCAAAATGGGACATTTTGGTTTAAATATACGTTTTGATATCAGCTTTTTAATCCCCTGCGACGGGTATGCGTAAAGAGCCGTACATGTGCGTTAACAGATGCTCCTTAAAAAATGGGCAACATAGTCTGCATTCACTGCGAAATTTAATAAACTCTATATAGTATCTCCTTCAAGGCAAAAATGAATATTTCAATTTATTTACGAGGGAGGAATGCGCTTTTCACATTAAAAACCGGCAAACGCTAATGCAATATCTAAACAGGTTCGAAAATTAACGGTTTGTGGAAAGATTGTTCAAAACATTAATATACACATTCGTCGGGTAAAATATGTGAACAGACCCTGGATTTCTACTTCTCGAGTAAAAAGCACATACTTGTGTATGACATCTATAAAATATATTTGAATGTATAGGACCGTTGAAAATCAATGTGAAAAGGCACGCTATTAAGCGGCCATTATTTAATGACCACGGTTTCAACAGAAAGATGAAAAGAAAGTAAATTCTAAAGCCGCTTTCCATCTGTGTCCCTCATACAAGTGTGTTGTGCTGGATGATAAGCAGTTTTACAGCAACGCCAAAAATACCTTTCTAATCTTACTTTCAGAAAGTCAGAATACCAGAACTTCGGCCAACATTTCATGAAATCAGTCACTCACTTAAAGCCAATCTCATCAAAATTAAATGTTAATGAAAGATCTACTGGTTCTTTTTCCAACCAAATACTGGCTATCCGGCACTACACTGTCAGTGCACTCTTAATGCACGAAAGTTCATGCAATGGCAAAAAATTTCGTTACATTTTACACTGCTGCCGTGCATAGTCCAGCATGCATAGAAATCTAGATTGCGATATAAAATACGCTCACAGGCGAACCAAAGACTAAAATAAATAATATGGAACAATAGTGGATAGCGTTTAGGAAAGATTCGCAGTAATATAACCTACACGTCTCCAAGACCGTCCGACAGGACAACGTTAGCCGCATTTGCTGAATCAGCGTAAGCAGTACAATAAAACAACTACAGGTCATGTTTCTCGATGGCGGATAAACTATCTTTTTGTACGTCAGTATTCATTTATGTAAAAATATCACACACGCAAAAAGTATGCGCATAGAAGCACATACTGGCTATGCGATTTGCTCAGAGACTTTGGGCGCGTGTGTGTTTGTGCATCTTCTTTTCCATGATTCAACAAACCGTACAACTCGTAGCGTAGTGTGCGCTGACAGGTCTCTGCCGCCTGGCTCCCTGACAGAAGGTGCGCTTGCGTTCCCGCAGGGAAACAGGTCATGTGCATGGCTGCCCTGGATTCGATTTTCTTTCAATTGTTGTGCTTGCTATTCGAAAGTTTCGTTAACCTGTTTGTTGTCAATCACGGGACGTTGTGATGCGTTCAGATGCGGGTTCGGTTGTGCCCACCATCCCACCACCCCCCCGCCTTCGGTAAGCTGACTACGTTCTGACCACCGCTCGGCGATTGGACTCTGGAAAAGGTAATCTGACGCCAAATTAAGCGCCTCGGTAATGCATAATTTGTCGCCATTTCTGTTTACCTGTCTGCACGTGTACAATCTTCATGTTTGATACCTTTTCACGATCTGGAAAAATTAAAACAAAATCACAAACTTCGTAAATGCAGAGAATTCTGTATTGGGTAGAACAATAAAGAATACTGATGGAATCAATTTTGTTTCATGTAGAGCAATATAACGAGCTTCTTTAGATATTCTGCTAGTTAAAAAAAATTCCTGACAAGACACATGAGACTTGGGGTGGTGAACTGTATTTAAAAAGCACGCATTTGCCTGCAAACCATACGAATGTATGCAATCATGCACTCATGCAGTACATTGAGCCACCATCCTCATAAAATGCTGGTGTAAAGTGAAATGCAGTTTGTATTAGAAAAATTTACCTAGGTGAATTTGCAATGCTGAATATCTTGCAGTATTATCCTATAACATATTAGACTCTAATTTTTTTCAATTCGATTTTTCATTTACGTCTTCTCAATCTCCTGTAGAAATCATACTCAGCAAAAATGACTGCTTAAGCGGAATGCATTATTTTCATTGATATTTGATGGTCTTATACGTATGTGTTTGCTGTATTTGGATATAAGGTTGACAACATGGCACAGCTTGACTGATACATTTTTCAAACCCTTATGTGGCCAAATTTTATTTACGTAGAGAGATAGAATAGGTGTGCAAATTCATGAAATGTTAACTGAAAATCCTACGTACGCTTCTCCTTCAAAAATCATAATTAAACAAGGTTAAAATGCTAATCTTTTAACAGCAGATTTCTAAGATAATTCAATTATCCTAGAATGCCAGCGTTTGAATGCACTTATTTTCGGCTGTATGCGAAATATAATATCTGCAAAAATGGAAACTTAAATAGCATGCATTTTACTCGTCGTTTGTTTACGCCCTTAAATAATCCGTTAACCTGCATAAAACACATCCATAATATAGTCATGTTTATGCTCATTTGGAATAATAACGTTGTCTTAAAATATTGTACTCAAATAGAGGGCGTAAATTGCTTTTTAAATTTTTTTTCTGCTGCCTAATAATTTCGAACCTGATTGCCTTCATAACTGCAATCTGGGTTTTTGACTTGCAAAGCATATTTTTCTGCACATGGAAAACCATATATTATCCTACGGTTTTGAGTGCAAAATGTAAGGAATTCATGAATTTTAATAGTGGATTTAAGTCATATTGTTAACTTTACAGGCCACATTGTTAACTGCAGAGACATGACGTTTTATGAACGGCCATTTCTGTTTATTAAAAACTCTCACAATATGATACTTCTTGAAAACAAATTATACTAACCGTTTCAGCATACATGTGGAAGGGAACGTAGGATTACACCATATTAGTAAAAGAAGAAATATGTCTTATGCATTTTTAATGCGATGTAAATTTATTTTAAGGACATCGACAATAAGTGAAAGAGACGTATTCTAATTTTTACGAAGCTTGATTTGCCCATGCAGCCGGTAATCTAAGGTAACCACGTTATGATAGAATAATGCTGCATTATGATTAGTTTTGCGACCACACCTAATTAATCGTATGGGAACGGAATTGCATTTCCGAACTTTCGTGGACGTTATGAGTTAGCCCATCTACGGTATATTGGTAATTGTGTACATATTAATAATCAAGTCCCAAAAGACCTGAACTTCTAGAACACCCACTCTATGACGAAAGTACAATGGGTCTGTTACCATAAGACGAAGATGCGATCACTGGAACAAGAAAGCTACTAGCCGGACATTTCGGATTCTCACTCGAACCCATCATTACAGTTAGTCGCAGATAAGGGTAATGGTCGCAAGAAAATGCGATGCAGCACCACTCTGTGTCTGCTTATCCAAACAACCAGTAAAAGTAAAGCCAAATTAGTCTGAAACTTTAG